GGCTCTCCTTTCCATTGCATACATTACTTTACATTTCTACAATGCAATGTCAAACAGCCTCCAAGTTCTGCAAAGCAGACTGATGTCCATTCTACAAAAATATTACAGTACATAACACTGAATAATTTTAATCTGTACATTTTTTTCCCTCCCATAATAGGTGACACGCGTCCGTTTGTACAAGTTAGAAAAAAACATCTGGTTGTTTACATCTGGATTAATAGTCAACAGAGTCAACCAGAAGTGGTGGGGTGGGGAGAGTTTGATAGAGTATAAATACAGTGTCATATTAATTGTGGTTAACAATACTCAGCTCTTCACAAAGTGATACAAAAGAAATCACCTTAGATTTTTGACTGAAAAGATCTAGCTGAGGAGGTTCTGCCAAAGTCGACTGACTGATCCCAAGGTTAAGGCTGACTTGACTTAGCAAGGTGCAGCACAACACAAAACACTGGCGCAGTTCAGAGCTCTTCGAATGCATAGCTTCAGTGTTACATGCACATTAATTATATTCCTTCAATTGGTTAATCCTCTAGACAGTTTTCTTTTTGATTTGCATGCATCCCGTTCCATTTCCATTAAGGGCATCTCTTCCTTGGTCAATCATGTGCTTTTGCTTTTCAATTTGTTTTTGTGATTTTTTTTTTGTATGTTTTGTTTGTTACGCTGCCAATACCTCCAACACTTGGAAAAGGAAATATAGAGGTGGTTTTACTTACAAAAGAGAATCAGAGCTATATGGACAATGTAAAATGAAATGAAACAAGTGTCAGAGACAGTTTATAAAAATGGCACATTTATTGCTACAGAACGGTCATGTACATGACTTCATCGAATAACTACAGATGGGAAACAGGTAATGGCCTAGACCACGCTGGGTTTGTTTTTGTCTTGAAGGAACTCCAGCACACAACCTGTTTGGACACTTCTACAAATCAGAAATACACCAAAAACATGAAAAATCGAGGCACTCAGCCACACATTGAAAACAAGGTGTAACTGTTTATCTTTTTTTTTGAAATGTTTTCCCTTTTTTTCTTTTTTTAACAATTTTTTTTGTTTTTAATGCTGCAGCTATGTGTACAGTCGCAAAAAATTTCCCCGCTGCGACCTACAACTAAAAAAAAACAAAAAAACAAAAAACAAACAAAAAAAGCTACCATACAGTTTCATCTCAGTAACACATGGTAAAATAACATCTTTTAAATAGTAAAATAAAGTAACAAACTTTTACTCATAATGATTCCAAAAATCTACAAAGAAGAAATATTCAGAATCTGACAATTTTTTTTTTTGTAATATTCATGGTATAAAAGGATTGCTCCTGCGAAAAATAAGCCAAATATATTTTTTATTTTTAAATTTAGTTTTTTTCCTACTAGGGTGTACTACAGTCTATTTTATAGCAAAAAGAGCACTAGACAAACAAAGCTTTATAACAAAAAGCCAGGCACTGATACATGGTAAATCTCTGCTTTTTTTTTTTTTCTTATCTTCACTTAATTGCATCACAAGTAACAAGAATGAAAAAGGCCACAGTTCATATATTTTCACCATTACATATGTCTATAATACTTGAAATGAGTATGGGAAAACCAGTACTGCACAAAGATGAGTCCACTTCAAGTCCCATGAGAAAGAGCGTGTCTCTAAAGAAAAACAAGCAAAACCAAAGCAAAACAAAAAGAGGCCTGAAGGCCTTGGTGCCCCATTGTGTTGGAATTCATCATATTCCATCTTGACTTTTTTTTTTTGTTTCCAGTCAGCCAGCAGACTAAATTTTTGTGCTTGTTTATGCTGAAACAATTTCAGGTTCATGTTTAGACACAGATCATATTCTGCCTGTTGGATCCAAGACGAAAATCCTCTTAACCCCAAGTCTCGGTTCAACTCCCTCCCCACCCCCCAATCCCTCATCAAAATAAAGATCACAAATTAAAAAAAAAAAATCAAGAAATAGGAAAAAGCGAAAAGTAAAAAAGGAATCGGAAGACCGAATCAGAACCAGTTGCGTTACCGGGTGGACTGACAGTTGTATAAACATTAGTGTTCCTCGCAGCTACACAGAAGACAAATGGTAAAAATTTCTGGATGAACAGATCCCTATTCTGCATATTCATAAATTACTTGAATGTGGAGGTGGATCGATTGTTCCAAGTTGCTTTTCAAGTCCAACTCTTTCAAGAAAACCCCAGCCTAAGTATCATCATCATCATATACATAGTGTAGTATGGACCCTTTCGAATTTTTTGTAAGGACATTAATTCTGTCTTCTGCTAAATTTCATTCAAAAATCCAGCGCAGGATACCAATATCTTACCTGGGTTCGATAATTACAAAACAACGACAAGAAAAAACACACTAGAAAGGCCACATTCCCTTTCATCTTTTTTTTTTTTTTTAATAGGGATACAACCCGATTAATACGGACAGGTGCAGATCATGTTTCTCCACCAAGCAAAAAGTAGTGAGCAGCTTTTGGTGGCTGTTCGAAAGGTTTTCGCTTATTTCCAAAGGGAATTCAACAATAGAGGTATTCCATTACCGAGTAATGAATACATCAAAGCTGGTGAACAGGAAATTGCAGCTTTTACTCTGTTTGAGTGAGAACAAAATAGAAAGCACCAATTTAAAAAATAATCAAATAACTACGATTTAATTTTTTGCTTTGTTTACAGATTTGAAAACCTTTAAATCAGCTCTATGAGGCACCTTTCTGACAACACGTATCAAAAGTGCCATTCTTAAAATGTACATCAATGCAGGGAGTGTTTCCAGTTCCCTAAAGAGTAAACACCATTATTTTCTTCTGTACACTTATCCTGAATGTGATCAGAGGATACCTGCTTCCTATATAATATTGTTCTTAGGGATACCCGCCTTGGTAGACTATACAAAATGAGTGCAGAATGTACCACTAAAAGGAAATCTTTAACATACTGAGGGAACAATACACATGGTTTCCGTCATTCGGGAGGAGGGGAGAGTACACCATATTGTCTTCCGTGCCCTTCTTTGAGCCCCTTTGTTGGTACATTTCACAGGAAAGCCTCAAAATAACTTGCCATGAAGTTTGATTTCTGCTATTCTCCTAAGGTTTTAATCCACCTCCACATTTTAGGAACTTATCAACAAATCAAAGTATTTTAGTTTTATCGCTACTGAACATATTTACAGTTTTCAACACACACACAGCTAATCAAAATGTTTATGGGTTTGTAAAAGATGACCACGTGGTAACTATCTTATTTGTTCTTACATTTTCAGAAAGGAACATAAAATTCAGATTCTTGTAGCTCACTATTTCATTTAAATGAGACGTTTTTTAAACCACACAGTTTAAAAAAAAACAAAAACCGATACAATGTATTAAAACACATAATAACAAGAGTCTACATGTAAAAATATAACTTTTACATACACAATTTCAAAATAATGATACGTTTGCCATTTGTTGCATAAAATTTACAAATGTATTTCATTACTATATAACTGGCAAAACAGGAGAACAGATGGAACGTTTAGACCATTTCGATGGATTTATGGCATTTACTCAGTGCTGATAGGTGGAAAAACTACTTGAACAGGGATTTTTTTTTCTTAATACATGCCAAGATTGTGTGGCTGTAAAAATAGAAACGAGTTAGAGACAAAAGGATGCTGACAAATACTTAACTAGGAGCACTATTTGTTTACTGCACTATACACCAAAGTCAATCATTATAAAGATTCACGATGGAAGTTGGTTCAATTGTGCCCAGACGTCAAAGCTAGCTATCTGATGAGTTGCTGTGCCATAGCTTGATCTATGCTTCTATCAAATATGTTAAGTATAAACTTCATTCATACTGGCCAGAGAAATACTGCACTACCCCTCCTCAAGAAAGTGCAACTTAATGCTTTAGGACTTATAAGGCTTGTTATAATGCTGCATGATGATTGAATATTGGCATTTTTCAGACGAAGGAGGAGGCAGTTAAGTCATCTACATCTTAGTAAACCCATTTTGAAAAAAAAAATCAAGAAAGCAACAAAATCAATCAGCTCTGTCACACTACTTGCAATTTTCTCATTTGATGGTTTTTGAACTTGACTTGTTTTTTTTGTTTTTGTTTTTTTCCAAAAATCTGACCATGTATTCAGAAACGCCTCACTGCACACTACTTCGGCTACACATGTAGGTAACACTTTAATCATTTTGTTAAATCACAGCCACTTTGATTATGTTATGTTTCCGATGATATAAACATTGGAAGGCACAGTGGTAACATTGTAGCATTCTAACCTTGTACCTCTGAAAATCCCAGAAAAGGGTCACAAACGCAACATTACACTCCAGACAAACTTTTTGCCATGTCTTGGTAATGCTGCTTGTAATATCTACACATGATGTGACTTTTAAGTCCTGTGTTCCCAAAAGACTGGAGAAACAACTTTCTACTTATTTATGAATGAAAAGCAACATCAGGGTCAGCATTTCATCCTGCACTACCCCTCCGGAAGCAGAGTTGGCACTACAGGTTACAATAACAAACTGGGGAAAGGGACAGAAAGAAGACCAAAAAAAAAAAAGCAACAAAAAATCCGTATTTACAGTAAAATCTTTCTTTTAAAAAAGTTAATCAGTACTATTTTTTTACAGGAGAAAAAAGTCTGAAACAAATGAACAAAAGCTTACCATAGTCACTAAATTTTTAATATATATTTATATATATATTTATATATATATTTGTCATAGGTCTATAAGATCCATCTGTTCCTCCTACCCTAAGGAATGGCTAATGTCATCACTTCGTTGTCATCAGGACGTGTGCTGGTTTTGTTACGAGGGCAGCTGAGCTTCCCTTTTTCAATATCCAGTAATTATAAACACTAGCTGACTTGAATACCAACAAAAACGTTCATGTAGTTGTCTTCAGAAGTACACTTTTTCATTATTGCAAGTTTACAATTTTTTTTAAATTAAATATTTTTTTCAGACTTACAAATTAATTATATTTTTTTTTTTCCAAAAGAAGTTTAGGCACAAATGCATTGTTCCACAGTGTGGAAAGATTGCCATTCAGTCTCCGGGCTGGGTCTCAGCCTCCCACATACCGCTTTGCACATTCTGAATGATATGTTAAGAGAGTCATCCCTCAAGTTGCACTTTTTTCTTTCTTTTTTTTTTTGTTTGTTTTTCGGTTTTTTGATAATTGGGAATGCTGAAACCTCTTGCGTCTGCGATTCATAACTACTCAGACTTGTCTTATATTACAAAAAAAGGGGTTAAGGAGAAGTGTTTATGTGGGTTTAAGATAATACAGCTGTTAAGGAAGTGGTCTCTTGTATTAATGAAGCAATGTGGCAACTTGGACCTGAGAAGGGAAAAAGAGAGGAAAATTAATTAATACATTTATAACAGAAGAGGTAAATGTTTTGTTTTTAAACTCTTTTTTTCCAAGGAGGAAAAAAAAATCTATCTGCTAATTTGGGCAAAATTTGACGTTTATGGCTGATGCCTGGGTGAGAGTCACAAAGGAAAGATTTCAGAAATGGTTGGAAACAAACTTGCCCTTTTACATCTGTCCCATGTGATTTGACGCATCTCCCATGCCAGGGTGAGGGCCCGCCAAGGAGAGCGGGGGCGGCTCTGAGGACACCTTTTCTTCCTCCCTTCTTTTCAGACACGCAGCTTTCGGATTCAGATTCCTTTCTGTGGAAGATTAAAGCACAGAGCAGTTAGTGAATGCCAAGGCTTCTGGCAGAGGGCAGTAATGCACGCTTCTGCACGTCTGCTGACCCTTTTTGTCAGTTTTTACATTACAGAATATAAGGAACAGTTACTAAATGTGCACGGCAGCAGTTCATTTGGTCAATTACTAGGAAAGGCTGAACTGTGTGATTTGCACTGCCACTTTACAGTATAAGAAAGTTGGTAAAGCAGATAGACCAAGCTCCAATTACTGATAGTACATATGGAAACATCAAAATGAAATCTAAGTTACGAGACAGTCCTGTAATTTAATTACAGGAGAAAGGGAAGCTGCTTATAGATTTTGATACAATCTGCAATTGAAACAATTATTCTGAATGAGTCTACTATCTCCTCCTGCTCAAGGCAGGCAAGTCCATCACGCCTCCCTCCAGCTGCATGCTACCCGTGACCTCTGCAAGGGGGCCAGCTGGCTTGCACTGACCTCGCACTTGCTGCTCCAGGCTGAGGATGACAGCCACAGCCTGGTGGAGGATCAGAAGCTTGGTCTGGGGTTTGTCACTCTTGAGGTGGAGCTGCACCATGCGGCCGAGCTCCTTGAAAGCCTCGTTGATGTCGCGGACCCGCAGGCGCTCGCGGGCGTTGTTGGCCATCCTTCGCTCCTTCTCACGCTCTGCCTTCTGCTCCGGTGTCAGGTCCTCGTCATCATTATTGCTGTGGGACAAAGAGGATACGACATTTTCTAATGGTGTGGGGAAAAAGAAGGTATCTAAGTTACTTCTGTTTTCTTCCAGAGTTTTGGGGGAACTCTTCCATCTCAAGCTGTTGTCCTTGGCAGGATTTTACATCTACTTGAGTTTGGGATTGCTGTAGATGGCTGTGACCAACCATACACAAGATTTCTCCCAGATATGAAACCCAATTCAAGTAGGAGAGGTTAAAGTTAGGGCTCAGAGTGCTCTATAACGATGTAGGGGGGCAAAAAGGGAAACAAAGCTTTTATAATGAGGCTACACTCTACAAAGCAGGCCACAGTCAACTTGGGCTTAAGCTACACTGCATGACCACAATTCAGAAAAAGTTTTAGATGAAGCTGCTTTTCTAAACTTTCATACATAAACTTTCATAAAATCTGAAACCCAAGGAAAACAAGTGACTGAAAAAAAGATTTTGATAGGTCAAAATCAACACAATGCAGCTAGACACGATTAAGAAGAAGGTCCTACATTCAAGATACCAGAGTAATGGGAGTGGAGACAGCGGGCCTTTGTCCAGGTTTCAACAGTAACTAACTGGAAGGCTTGGTCAGTCCACTTAATGTATCTGAGTCTCTTTTTCTCCACGTATTATTAAATAAAAAGGCTAGAGAGACATGATCTCTGTAGCCTTTAACATTATGGATGTTTATGATGCCAAAGACAAGCTGGGGAAATCTGAGTTGATACGATCTATGCAAAACAAAGCAAAGCAAACCAAAGCAAACCCAAACACCTACTGGTTATAAATGACCATAATCTCATTGTGGGTCAAAAATGAAGCCAAAAAGCTAATCTCTGGTTGGGCGAACAGAAAAACTATACGATTCATATCAAAGGCACGGTTGTGCCCAGTCGAGTCTAGAAAAGGGAAGATTCCTTCTGTTTCTAGGTGTCATGACGACAAATCAGAAACTTTTGAATGGAAGGAAATAGGTTGATGAGCCGTCTGGAAAGCATATCATATAAGGAAGGTTTCATGGCATCTAGTCTTCAAATATTTCATGGGAATCATGTAAAAAAGAGAGGTGTGGGAGATGTCTTGTCTCAGGGAGGCAGAACAGAACAAAGAACTCCAAGCGGTATAGTTTGAATTAACATGAGTAAGAACCTTTTTGGGTATGAGAGAGAGCAGAAATGAAGTGATCTTCACTGAAAAGTAAAAGACTCCCCATTACAAGAAACAATATGGAGGTGACCACCTATAAGGATGTTAACCTAGAGATTTAAATGTTAATCTCTACTTTAAAATTCCAGGAATCTGAAATGTTCACAGAATAAAGATGTTAATCACAACATTTCAGAGCTGGAGGACATGGGAGAAGTTAGCTAGACAATTCAGTGTATACTAAATGAATGAATGTTGTACACTAATGAATGTTGGCTTAAAAGGCATGGCTCCAAATCTTCCATCTTCCATTAGAGAATTTCCAGGTAATTTTTAAATTTCAATAAGGACAAAACGCGATTGTGAAGGCCCAATGAATCAAAAATGGGAGTGGTATTCTTGGGTTGCAAGGAAATGTTGCACATAAGAAGACATGTGTAAGCACAGAGCACTGACAACAGAGGGGAGGAGGAAGATGCTAAAGGAAGGATGCTGTAAGACTTGGCTCATCTCCACATAAGTTAAACTCCCTTCTAGATGGGACTGTCTGCTGTGGATGTTTGCTGGTAAATATGCAACTGAACTGAACCAGTCGGAAAAGGCACTTTTTCTCTGCCATCTGATCCTCTTTACTTCCTCCACTGATCCCTACTCTCCCTCACCCATGACCTCTACTGATACTAAGGAAATCAAGGTTACTATGAATTCACGTCCACATTCCACCACACGAACAGGATGTAACAAGTGACAAGAGAACAGAATCGAGTCTCCGCTGGGCCCATCCTGAAGTTAAAAATTTGGGTAAAATTTTTAAACATCAAACATGTGCCACAACTTTCACAAAGTGGGAACTTGTTTTCCAAAGGTATTCAGGCTAATGACTAATTAGAATTGGCTATTCACTTGTAAATAAATTGGTTACGCAAATAAAATTGCCTAGGTTTGAAAAGCAGTGCCCTACCACACAGTTTTGGAGGCATAACTAAATGTCACAAGGGTAACCTTTTAAAATAAAAAGGTACTTAACAGTAAGTCAAAATGTACTGAAATGTCAAAGAATCCATTAATATGCATAAGTTATGGCCACTAGTTAAATTACCAAGAGCTGATGAACTAACAGAGAAGCCGGTAAAGATGTGAAAGCCATTTCTTGAGATTTCTTACCAATATGGCCAAGAGGGAGGAAATTCTTCAATGATGGTGGAAAGGTGTAAGCTAGAAGGTGTTAGCACTTTTGGAACTTGTGGAAGGACATGTAATAAAATTTATCTCAATATTGACAAAGGTAATATGAAAAGGCAGCATGTTCTTAATTCCTAAAGGCCACTAGATAGAACCTTGAGAATGACAGCCTTTAAAAGGGAGGTGTAGTCTTAGCACAACTTATTTAATTTGCATATAAAAACAACCCAAGGGAATCGAGGCAAAGAACATGGGTGCCATGTTATTGGTATTTGAAAACCTCTGATTACCAGAGTAAAGTTAAAGTTCAAGGAGATAGTTTCTAATGTTAAAATAGTGGATATTTAAGAAAACCAACCAGAAGCTATTTTCCTGCAGTTGTATTTTCTGTAGAAGGGAGTATCCAGGAGAAAAAAATTAGTAATTTAGGTATTGCTTTTATATATATATATATATATCTCACTCAATATGTTTAGGAGAAAGCTGGGAAATCAGTATTTTCTCACTTTCAAGGTAAGAAAAAAGTTACAGCTGCATATACATCAATTGAGTTTTCAATACCGCTAAGATCTCTTTCTAGAAATATTTTAGAAAGAACATTTCTGACCAAATTTGTAGAATAGCACAGTTTTAAAAATCGACTGTTTGCATTTAAATCGGTTACAACTTGTTTTTATCGTGTGTAATTAGCACTGGGTCCAAATTCATAAATGCAAAGATACTTTAGGCTGCCCCAGAGTACACGTATCTGAAAGGATACTTGAGTACTTCCAGGGTAGGCCTTTAATTTCTTTTTAGCTGTGGATTTACCTGCCAGGAAAAAACTGAATCGTTTCTTCCTGTTCTGTTCACTTCATCAAAGTCCAATAAAGGAATTAAATGAAGCGACAGTATTATATACTGTTACCTAGATCTTGACCTAGTAATTGATTTGATATCCTTCTTGTCGTCATCTAATTTCTTGTCCTCGGAAGATTTCGTGTCTTGAAGGTTCTCATCGCCCTCGTCATCGGACTTGATCTCAGAGCTGCCGGAGGAGACACTCTGGCCCTGTAATCCTGGTGGCATGCCTACAGAAAAGACGACCAGGTGACACTTCCACCAAAGACTCGATGCACGAACGCGCGCACCCTAGATCACAGAACTGCCAGCTATATAATTCATACTGTTGAACTGTGATCCTTCTGTCACTTTTTTTGCGCTATCTGGTGAAGTTTCAAAAATGCACCTGCAGAAACAAGTTTCCCCTGCATTGGCTCTGAGGTTAAATTCTATTTTGCAATCTTTTGGAGTAGATGGTAATTTCACTGTCTACAAAACATCAACTTAATTGCAATGAAAATCATAATCATGAAAATCACACACCTCAATGTTCTGATTAAGAACCCAAGTAAATATCAGCTATTATATTGAGTTTCTTCCATATGCAATGATTTAATAGAAAAATGTCCTTAAAATATAATTCCCAGGGAGTACACTAAATATGTGCAGTCAAGACTTCAATAGATACCCTAACGATATTCTGAAATTAGGCTTCTCTTATCCTCAAGAAGTAATCAGCATTTAAGAATGGTATATATGGAAAGCAGTTAGCTGCTCACTGAAGAAATTTCTAGCCTCATCATTGCTCAACTTTCAAGATCATAATACATTTGAAAACTTGACCCTAAAACAATCATTTATTTCTAAGGTAGGAGCATGTCTCTTGAGTATTTCCCTCTATTTGTAATCTGTGCAGTCTACAACCTTGTCACTCAAAATTTGGTCCATGGGCCAGGAGCATCCTTATCACCTGGGAGCCCATCAGAAATGCAGAATGCCAGACCCAATGAATCAGAATCCTTAACAAGATCCTCAGGTTATGTGTATGCACATAAAATTTAAGAAGCACTGATCTAGGATAGAGAAAGAAAAAGCAAAGGCTCTTTCAAAGAAAGGGCCGCCAAATTGTTACTATTCAGATAAAAACGGGCAGGCATACCCATATATATAATTAACACTCAGATCTGTACAATGTTTAACAGCTGAAAAAATGCGTCTACACATTCTCGTGGTAGTGTTATGATTTTTATTCTAAACCTGAGGGGAATGAGAGGATGTTATTTTAGTGTCTCCTAGTCACCTGGTCAGCCAGTCACACAGGGAGCAGGGGCCCCAGGTCTTGCCTCTGCAGTACCACTTCCTGGGGTCATGAAAAGCCGACTGGAATCAGTGGTATGAGGCAACCATTACGGGGCTGCATGACGTAACGGCGAAAACCAGCCAACCAAATTCCATTTTTTAAATGTACCTACATTTCCTTCGATCTTAAACAACAAAAAAAATTTCCTTCCTTCCTATTCATTTGGAAATATCATTTTCAGGCTACAACTAACCACATTAGAGGACCTGAATGAATAAAATGTGGAAATAGCTAAAATAAAATTTCCTCTCATCAGTCTATTGTCTCATTCCCTGCTGAAATAGTACCAGGATTTCAGAGGATGTTTGAGGAAAACAGTTATTGAAGAAACACAATTAGCCGTCTACGTTCTAAATACTTTCCCATTTACTTACCATTTTGGTACCAAATTTGATTCTTGGTTTTCTGCCAGTGCTTCCTGAGGGATGAATGCCAAGGAAGCATGGGATCAACACCGGATCTACTGTTGTTTAAGTGAGGTCAGAAGTGCCCTCTGAGGCGGACCTACCTCTGTAAGGGTCCTGGGGTGGGTTCAAATCAGGGGAAGTTGCAGACTGGACAGGAAGCTGTGGAACCGGAACCTGGTTTGGCACAAGAGAATGGCTGCCTCTCAGGGCCACGCCATCTTCACGATGGGCCCCAACCTGAAAGGGTGAGAGGAAGCACAGAGTTTAGCAGGAACCAGAGGTGCGACAGCTGTTTGCAGGGGCAGCAAGGACCGGATGAAGGAAGACTGGCCTTTGAAAAACAATACTCCCAAATACATTTCACTAGAGGGCGCTGGAGGACCGCACATGCACCTATAGTACCCTGCAAAAACACTTAACACTCAGTAAGATGCCGTGCTGTACATTCAGTGACAAATATGGCAGAGTAGCTCAGGCAGGTAAAACGTCAAATTGTCTCCCAGGGTGCTGCAGTGGAGCGCACTGATTCGTACCCATCTGTCTTCTATCATGTCCGCCAACAGATCTGACAATTATCTTAATGCCCATATGCTTAATTGTGGGCTTCTCAATTCCCCCATTGCTATCGGAAATCCTACAGGAATTTCAATTTGGCATTCGACTTTCATTTCAGGGGATAAGATTCTCAGGCCTGCCATTTTTTTTTCCATAATGCCAGCTAAGCCTCTGACAACGGAAGCTACAGCAGTATGGGACATAGCCCCTGCTCGGTACAAATATAATAAAATGTCACCTGGCTTTCCAAAACTGGCAGCCCATTCCAAATTAATGTTTACTGTATTTCATCAGCTGCTGAGTTCCAAATCCAAAGGGGGACCATTTCTGCCAATGCCACCACACCGGAAAATGTACCAATAAAGGTTTTATTAAACACACCAGTAATGCCATCATTGCCACGTGAAGATGTTTGGACATTTTTCCATTTTTTTTTCACTATTCTGATCCTAGAAAGACACCATATTGTAAACGCTCTTTATGTTTCCAAGAATAAAATTATAGAGTACAGCATGATGACTCGGTCTGAAAAAAATACTGCTGAGCTTTTTATTAACTACTACTACCTACTCCGGGGTCCAGAGATGTTGAACTCGTGGCACAGAGACAGCAATTGCTGACTTTATAGCATAAGCCTTAAAGCAAAACCATTAAGCATTTGCAAACCAAGAGGAACATGAGTAGCTTACATTTCCGTTTGCATTTCCAAGTATTTATTTTCTTAGCCTATTGTTAGGTGAACATTTACGCAGGACAGTGAGTCTAACACTAAAAATATTTATCTAAGAATTTATACTGCTATGAATCAAAAAGTTGAATTTTTCCAATCCAAAATATAAAACCACAAAGCAGAATCTTCACTTTTTGCTACCAAATGTTTGCAAAGAGTATTTTCAAAGAATGCAGCAATAAGACTGAACCAACAACAACCAAATTCACAGAGGCGAATGAAGCATATGCTATCCAAAGGCAGCCTAGTGTAAAGCATCACCTTATAAACTCCAAGACAACACAGAAGAAAATCATTCAGGGGGAGGGGAAAGGATCATATAAATCACACTAATTGTTCAGATTCAAAAACATAGCAAGAACAGTAAAGGATTTAAAGACTTGTGAGCAACAGGAAGTAAAAATGAGTGTTGCAGCTGAGAGATCTGAGCAGTCCGGTGGTGTCTGCCACCTGCGTGCCTGTGTCCCTTCCCAGAACGTTCTGAATGGTTGTTACTTAGCCTCTATGTGGGTGCCTCAAATGTACTGAGGCTCTGATTATCTCCCAAAGCAGCCTATTCCATTCGCGCAACAAGCCAGCTCCCCAGTAGCTTCCACCCACTGGCTCCAGTTTCCACTTTTAGAGTTCCATGGAATAAACACAAGCCCTTTTCATATATTTACACCAGTGCCATGCCATTCCTGTCTTTCAGCTGTAACTGAAGCCTGATCTCTTACAGGCAGACCATGCCCACCCAGTTCCTTCAACCATTTTTCACTCACTCTTTGTGTATGTTTTTATTTTCCTTCTGAACAAAAGAGTGACAGCTATTTTCTGCTCAGGTTTGGATTTGCCATTTTTATATTTGTGCATTTAGAAGACTGATTCAATCGATCATTATCCTTTCAGGCTAAGATGTCAACTTGTAAACATGAATTTTACAGGCCTTGGTCAAATGGTACTCTTTAAGGCTGTCAATCAGTGTTAACCTAACTAATTACCTAAGTGCCAATTCATACTTACTGGTGTTCTCAATGGACTTAATTTCTTGAATTTTCACAAAGGATGATTCTAAGTTGGAATCACTGATGGTAACCACAGATTTGAGCATGGTGGAGATGTACACTCCTTCTACTTTAGAATCTTCTATTAAAACACTCAAGTCTTCCTTGTGGGCAAGGATGCAACTTAAAGTTAAAATCTTGCTTTTTACTTAAATCATATTCAGTTATTAATCCTGAAATTTCTTTCTTTCCTCTAGATCATATTTAGTTTTTACAAGGGCAAAAAAGAACTCACAATCAATTGTCTTTATTTTCTTTGCCTCCACTCTTATGAAGGACAGTGCAACTGAGTGAGAAGAATACAATAATGAGAGTCAATAATATCTAGATCCTAACTGTAACTGGTCTTTGTTAGCTATGTAACCACGAGTAAGTTACTCAAATCCAAATGGAGAAAATAACACGAGAGGTCATGGAGAATAAGTCCCAGAATTAGTGCAAGGAGTAGCAGTATGCAAAACAGCTGGTACAAAGCAGATACACAATAATTATAGGTATTGTTATATGTTCTAACTGAAAATACTTGCTTACGACAGAAATAAGAGTGTGGAGTTCAAGAACTCCTTGAATTCAAGCTACCTTCACTGACGGTCATCTTTGCACGCTTTTTCTTTATTTTGTTCACATCCATTTGATTTTAAATCTTTCTCCTGTACAATAACAGTAAAATCTTAAATGATAGTACAAATGTGTTTGAGAATATAGATGTATATCCATCTATATTTTTGTTTGGACTTTAGGTGTGCAAGACATTCTAACTTTTTCTCTCTTCTATAGATCATCTCAAGTAATATATCAATCGTTTTCCATAAAGGAAAGCGGGGACAAAGTTATCCTTGATCTTTTAAGGCCTCTCTTTTAAACTATGTGTATTCCAGGTCAGATCAATGACCTACGATAGGTCCAGATCCACATGGTAGTCACCTTAATTCTCTAGGATCAATCCCATTGCTTGTGGCTGTGGAATAGCATTCCAATTTGAAGAATTAGCTTTGCTTTGCTTATTTCCTTGGCCGCAGACAGCATGTCCTAACCCTATTTACTTCTCTTTCAGAAACATTATTTCTAGTCACATAAGAAACAAAGAAAGAAAGACAGCGGAAGGTCAGCACAAATCCACCACTTGAATAACTGAGAAATAGACAGAAGAACCAATATTGCCATCGGTACATACAAGGGTCAGGATTTGTCCACTTTCCATATAATAAATATATAATAATGTAACAAGAAAAAAGTAGATTTCTTCCATCTACAAATCGATTCTAAATGGTGCTTATTTTTAGAAAATCCATACTTCATTAAAGCCTTATTTTGATAAACTTTTCATCTAGATAAGCAATAATTTAAAGTTAAAAGGCAGTCTATGAAAACAGTTAAATTTATCAATATTGATTGTAAATTTTTTGCAGCCTTTAAGAATAGAGCCTTCTTATAGTCACATACAATGTGGTTTTAGTATATTTATGCAAAAAGTAAAAGACAGAATTAAAATCTAAAAATGATTAGCTAATTGTTAACTGATTGATCAGAGAGTCCATTTATTAACTCAACAAACAGTTATTTAGTCCATGCTTGTCACTCTGTGGGGTGCTGGGGACAGGGCGGTGAATAACTTAGATGTGGCCCCTGTCCTCCTGGAGCGCACAGTGATCCTTGGTGGGATTTTTGTCACTAACCAATTTAGTGCAGCAGTCTTAATAGTAAGGATCAGAGACTCATTCAAGCTTGCTCAAGTGAAAGATTTATCATGAAGATTTCTATAATTTAAGTTTCGGACCCAAAGAGCTCTTGGGACCTAAGGCCATTCCTTGTCTTTCATAGGCCATCCCAGCCTCTCTCCTCCCTCTGGCGACCCTCTGCCTCTCTCTGGCTTCTGCACCCTCATGACTACAGCCTGGACTCTTCCTTCATGGTATCTCTTGGTACTTTCTTGTAGGTTCTGTACCTGATGCTAACTCCCTCTGTGTCTTAGCATTTCTGAGTTCAGAATGCTAAGATCATCTGATGGCCTAGCTTGTAACTTTGAAGCAGACATGGGCCATCCAAAGAATGGGCCACCCTAGGATCAGGTGTCCCCATTTCTGGTCCAACGAACTACAAAAGAAGAAGACAAGGCAGGATCGCCTGGTCTTGCCCCTTCCACAGTCCCCATAAATCATGGCTCGTATGTGCAAATATCTAAGTTATGTTGCATCTTAGGTCATATTACATTCAAATTCTGATACTGCTATTTAAATTCTCCTGTGTGAATTTATCATTAGGAATAATTCAATACCTTTAGAAGTGCATTACTTCTTTTGAATCACATAAGCACCATACAATTTTAAATAACCTTACTTTCCAACGAAAGGACTGAGATATTAGAAGCACTTTTCAATCACACTTTATAGACTTTGGGGCTTGCAGAGACTTGGAACCCACTTAGGCCAAACTTCTCATTTTACAGAGAAGAAAGCTAAGGCCAAAAATGGTTAAGTGACTTAGCAGATTTTGTTAAGTGACAGCTTTGATGAGTGACTGAAACAGATTTTGAACTCAGAAAACTTATAATAACATTGAACAACTTGATGGGGCATATATATACGGGAGGGGAGGAGAGTTGAGTGACAAAAGGAGTTTACTTTCTGGAGCTTTTGTTTTAAAACTGTGTGTGTGTATAGCTATAGATATGAAAATCACTTTAGTTTTCTTTATCGTAGGGGAAAAAACATCATGGTTCACCAACTCAGGCCAAGGCCAAGATGTCTAACTAAATTACAAAATTTAATATTTGCCACGACTCCTCCAACATAAACAGATTTAAAAGATATGCTGCTTTAAATTAGGTGGCTGTTGGCAAGGCTGTTTTTACGTGGGGATGCATAAAGCATCCTGGTAAATATCCTTATCCTGATCCTCAAGCTAACAAC